TGCCATAATTAGATTCAGTGAGCGATTTCGAGTATTTTGACTGTAATCATGACTATGTTATGAATAGTGCGTTCTGCCGGAGAATTTACAGTTTTGTGAATTAACCGGTAGAGCTTAAATGAGCAAAATAATTTTAGGAACATAATTTGAAAATTCTGACGACAAATATGAGTTCAGAACAAAAAATTGTATAGTCTGGCACTTTCCGTGAAAATCTCGTGAATAGTGTTTCTACCGGGTATTTTGTACTGCTGTTTAAGCAACCGGTAGAGCCCAGAAACAAATAATTGATGAAATAAGAATAAGAAAGTCCAATATATGCCAAGCAAGTAAATATAGGCCCAAGAAAATGATAAGTTTATAAGTTTAAGTTTCATAAGTAAATGAAGTACAATTAGTGATTCACAGTGCATTTCGTCAAAAACGGTGCAAAAATCATACTGTGAATTATGAATATTGTTTTGTAAGAATTAAAAAGTAATATAAATGATTTTAGAAAAATAAAAATATATTTGTAGCTTTGAGTTAGTTCCGGGTTAGTTTAAGTGAAAATACGCAAAAGAAAAATACCCGGGTAAAAAGCCACATGTGCTCACCTTCTTAAGTCACTTAAGTCTCATTTCCAAATCAGTTTCTCTCTCCTCTCCTCACTCTCAAAACCGAGCTGCAGCCATGGGGGAAGGGTTTGGGGTTGTCTTCTTCCTTCTTTGATTTCTCCATGGTTAAGCCACCAAATCTTCCACCCAATATACCAATCTCATAGGAAATCGTCCAAGGAAGCTATTCCACCCCCATTTGAGCTGATTTCGTTTGTGGAGGGAGATATTCATCACTCCATTTTTGGATTACTATTCATCCAAGGTGAAAAAGGGGGGTTTTTGGTGGAGTCTTGCTTGTTGGTCACCTTCTAGACCTTGTATAAGCTTTTGGAGGTAATGAACCTCTATTTCCATGGTATTATTTTGATGATTTGAGTTATAAAAGTTATGAGTATGTTTTGGTAGGAAAGAATTGTGTATTAAACTTTGATTTAATGATGAATCTTTGATGTCTTGGATTTAAGAAATGAAAATAAGCATTTGTATGTATGTAAAAAAAAAAAATTAGAAAAAAATCCTATGCTTTCCTTTACATGTTCGGCCATCATAGGTGAAGAGTAGGTTGTTGTGCAAAATTTTTATCTTAAGTATTAAGAAGGTTTAATGTGTAGGAATTAAGTGGAAATTTGATAAATTACTGAGAATGCCAAAGTGGGAAAAATTATATGAAATATGCCCTTAGGTTTAGGCCTTGTGGGGCTTTGGAGGGACTTTATGCTCCAAAAATTAAGTTGGAACCTTAAGAAAACATGTATTTGTATGTGTAAGTTACATGTAAGTGAAGAAAAAGAACCTTTGTCTATGTCCTTGTAGTGTTCGACCTAGAGGGTGGTATAGGGGTATATTTTGTTACATTTTATTGTAAATAAAATGTGTTGTAATTCATTGTATAAAATTGATGAGTTAAGAAGTGAAATGACTTGAAAAATGGTTGAAAAATACTTTGATTTCCTAAGGGTATGTCCGCGGCTTTTGAAGTAAAATGGCATGAATGATATTGAAAATTCTCAAGTGAATACTTGATTAAAATGAAAGAATGCTAACGAGTATAAGGTGGTCTAGACTTGTGTATTGGCATCACACTGGCAAAAGTATAAAGAAAGGAAGATAAGCGATAAAATGTATGCCTTATGGAAAGTCTAGGCATGATAGCATTTTATTGATTTCTATTTGTGGATTCTTGCTCTAGGTGCACCTAGGGACTAAAAAGGATCGGAATCTCTTGAAGACATATAAGTAACTTGTGCAACAAGTAAGCGTATTGGTAAAGCTTCAAGAGGTAAGCTCTATGTTTAAGGAGTCTTTTCCTGCTTGAGTGCTCCACCATGGTTAGTGAACTATGGTTGGACTGTATGACTGTGATTTAGATGCTTTGTATAGATGCATTCATATAGAGTTATTTGATAACATGATATGTTTTGCTCTGATATGACTTCTGTAATATGATTTCTGTAACAATCTCTGGCCATTGGTTGTATAGTACCCGGACGTCCGCTTTGGGGTCCTCCCTCGGGACTGATGGTGTACGCCTCTGATATGTCTGGTTCCGCTTTGGGGTCCTCCCTCGGGAACACGTGCGTTGATTTCCGCTTGGGGTCCTCCCTTGGGAATGACGGCGCACATCTATGATATGATATGGATATATGCTCTGTTCTGTTATGATATCTGTTATATGTTGTATTCGTATACTTTGTATCTGACTTTCATGCAGGAGTGAGCCAGGGGTATGGAGAATTCTCTATAAACCTGGAGCTTATTGAGATTTGTAATCTCACCCCTCTTTGGGGACATATTTTCAGGTGCCCAGATTCCCGGTGAGTCCTCACTAGGCAGGGACACGACACGTGGCTGAGGCAGTTGACAGATCGGATTTTGAGTGGTTGTAGGCTACTACCTTTTTGGAGTGTTTGATGTATTTTAGTATTTTCGCATTTGATGGATCATGATATTGATCCTTTATTGTGTATATGGCCTGTATATGTTTTGTACATGTCTGTCGCTTTGATGCATGTACATTTGGGTATTCAGGCACGTTATATGATGAGGTAGTATTCAGATATGTTTACGTGTTGGATTGCATGTTGTTAGATATAGTGGCACTGAGCCAAGTTATGCATGCGCCCATGGATGGACATTTGATTATATTTGTATAAACTGTTTATCAGGAAATGCTTCTGTGAGGGATTGGAAAATCCCCAGTTGTCCGATTTATAGAGGAAACTCGCCCGATTTTCGTTTACGACGAATGAGAATTTAAAAAGAAAAAGAAAAAGTTAGCTCGTATTTTCAGAAGTTAAGTCTTCCGCTGTTTTCTGTTTTATCATATGTATGTTAATTGAACCGGCTCGAGACGGGGATATTACAGCAGGTAAGATTGAAGCATATTCATATCCCAACAACCATGTGTATCTAGAACTTCATTAGCTTTCCTGGCTAGATCATTCCCACTAAGCTCCTTCATACAAACATTTACTAAGGGACCCACATTGGGAATCCAAGGATCAGTCCAGAAGTTGACCGAAGCTCCATCAGCAAGTTCCCACATGACATATTCTTTTAGCTCCAACCACACCTTGCAAATATTCCTCCAAAGGAGTGAGTCTCCAGTTCTACTGGTAAAAAGATCTAGTTGATTTCTTCTACCATTATATTTTGCTTTTAGAACCCGCACCCAAAGCGCATCATGATCTGTTTTAATATGCCAAGCTAGCTTACCCAAAAAAGCATCGTTCATAACATCAAGACATTTAACTCCAAGGCCTTCCTTTTGTTTTGGTTGGACTAAAGTACTCCACCCGATCAAAGCATTCCCTCTATTTTGATCAGATCCATTCCAAATAAATTGGCGTTGTACCTTCTCCACCTCATGACAAATGGATTTAGGCAACTTAGTACTTTGCATTTGGAAGAAAGGCACAGTTGAAACTGAAGCTTTGCTCAACGTAATCCTACCTGCCATAGATAGGCATTGAGCTTGCTAACCTTGCATTTTTGACTTAACCTTATCAACAATATCATTGAATGAGGCTTTGGAAACTCTTCCATGTTGCATCATCGCTCCAACGTAACGACCCAAATTCCTGGTCCTTTTGAATCCACTCAAACTCGCAATCTGGTCTGCTTTGATATCATCAACATTCTTAGAGAAGTATATGCTGGTTTTGGCCAAGCTCACCCAAAGACCAGACATTAAAGCAAACTCATTCAATATATGGACAATCACACCCATTTGTGCTTCACTAGCCTCCGCAAACAACATCAAGTCATCAGCAAAAATTAAATGAGATATCTTCGGACCTCCTTTGCCCACCCTGATTGGATTCCACTCCCCTTTACCAACAGCATTAGCAATCAAATGAGAGAGCTTTTCAATTCCTAGCACAAATAAGAAGGGAGATATGGGGTCACCTTATTGCACGCCTCTAAAAGGTTGAAATTCTGGCGTTAACTCACCATTCTAAAGCAAACTGATGTTTGACGTTGTAACAGCAGCCATGAGAATATTTAAAAAATTACCTGGCAATTTTATTTCTGACAAAACCTCTTTAAGGAAGCCCCAGCTAAGTCGATCATAAGCCTTTTCTAAGTCCACTTTAATAGCCATGAAGCCTTTCCTTCCTCTCATTCGATGCATAGTGTGAACTAGCTCTTGAGCCACAATAATATTATCTTGAATATGACGTTTCAGGATGAAGCTAGCTTGGCATGGAGAAATGGTCCTCTCCATTATTGGTTTCAGCTTGCTGACAACAATTTTACTGAGCACTTTATAGAGAACTGAGCAGAGAGATATAGGACGCATATGACTCATTAGCGTAGGAGCTGGAACTTTGGGAATTAGAACTAAGAGAGTTAAATTAATTCTCTTAATGTTCGCTGGATTCTGCCACAAATAACAGATCTCTTGACAAACTTGATCCTCGATTCTATCCCAATTCTGCTGGAAAAAATTTGCTTGAAATCCATCAGCTCCTGGTGCTTTAAAAGATCCCATATCAAAAATAGCATGGCGAATATCTTTCATGGAAGGTGGCTTTTTAAGGTCCTACAAAGTATCTTGTGTTATGACTGGCCATCAATCCTCAGTTGTTATCCATTTCCTATTTGAATCGTCCTGTTTAAAAAGTTTCAAATAGAAATTGCGGGCCAGCTCTTGAAGGCTACTCGGATCTGAGATCCATGTTTGAGTATCATTCTTTAACCGCAGAATTTTGTTGGTGTTCCTGCGAATGATTGTCTTCATATGATAGAACTTGGTGTTCCTATCACTATCAACAATCCATTTTCCCTTGACTTTTGGAACCACAACAACTCTTCTTGTTCTAGAATACTAGATAAATCTTCTTGTAGCTTGTTTTCCTTCATAGCCAGATAATGAGATTCCTTTGTCATTCGTTGCTGCTAGACCCGATCTATTGACTTAATGAGACCCTTTTTTCTTAGCCAAATATTCCCATAAACGTTGGTGTTCCATTGTTTTAATGGAGGGACCAACCGCTGAAGCATATTACTGCACGTCTCATTAGACTGCCAATATTCATCAAGGAACGAGTTGAACATTGGATGTTGCTGCCATGCTGCGACAAATCGAAATGGTCTTGTCCCTAAATGAGCCTGATTAGCATACAACACTACTAAAAGAGGATTGTGATCAGATTGAATCCTAGGAAGCACCCGAACATTTGCATCTGTGTATTTCAATCTCCAAGCTTCATTTGCACATACTCGATCAAGACGCTTAAAAATATGATCCAAATGTCCCCACTTAGGCCTTTGCCAAGTAAAGAAAGCACCAGCTCCACCCAAATCGATTACTTTACAATCATCTAGAACGTCAGCAAACTTTTGACATTTTGTTATATCAACAATAGCCCCTCCTTTCTTCTCTGATGAATGTGCAATCTCATTAAAATCACCACCCATAATCCAAGGATCCGCTACCTGAGAGCTCAGTCTTCGAAGATCTTGCCATAATGAGTTCCTCTTCTCTTCACGGGGGCTGGCATAAATAGCTGTAAGAAAGGTGAACAGTTCCTCATTTCTAAGAATTTTAACGTGGACAAACTGACTAGATTGCTCAATAGGCTCTATTCTGAAGAAATGAGAGCACCAAAATAACCAAATACCACCAGAAAACCCCTGGGCCTCTTCAACACCTAGGCTTTTTGCTAATTTTGCAGCTCGATCACCAGAAGCCCTAGGTTCAAAAATTGCCACCAACTTGATATTATGTTTCTGCACAAGAACTTTAAGTGTACGAGCGAGTCTCCCGCTAGCTGCGCCTCTACAATTCCATAGAAGGACTGACATTAAGACATGTGTTCTGACACATTGATCACTGGAACCTCCAAACGCTCCATCAGCTCATCTGTATTCAAGCTAGTATTCTCTATTGCTACCATATCAATATAACTCACATTTTGAATCTGCCCTTGATTAGAAATTGGGTCTGGGGGTCTTGGTGGATGGGCCAAAAGCATATTGTTTGTAGTTTCATTACTTTGATCGACTAGCATATGGTGATCCTCCAAATTCCCGGTTCTTCTATTCTCGGTTTTCGCAGAGTTCTGCATGATTTTTAACGTGGATCCTTGCGTCATTTCCTTCCCAGAGACTTGATTCTGTCTTCGTTGATGAGACGCAGCAGTTTGTTCCTTGATAACCGATGCTTTTAATTTTTCATTATCAATTGGGTCCTCAGCTATGTACAGCTATCCATCATCAATTTTTTTCCATGCAAGTTTATACTGAGTTTCCATTTCCACTAAGACCATTTTCCCCTTATTAATGCTGCTATTAATCACCGGATTACTTGCCTGAATTTCATGCACGGGAATAGGAATTTCTTTTCCTTGATTTGCGCCAATCATAGATGTGATACCTCCCGATTGTGTTCCGTTATGATTCTGCATTAAAGCACCATCCGTAACTCCCTCCACTGATTGCGCTAGGGCTGCGAATCTGGAGCTGTTATGTTGGCTACCACGTGACTTCTCTGTTTGAACGCCGTCAGCCCTTCTGTGTCTATCATCCGCCGCCGTCGACTTCCTGCCTTTTCTATTCCTGTTAACAATCATCCATGGCCCAGAACCTTTTTTTGGAACATTCTGGTTACCTCTCATGTCAACATCAGGACCGTTCTCAGTAACTGGGACTTATTTGCAATCGTCATTTTTCTGCACTTCTTGGTTCTTTGTTGAGTTTGTTTCTACAATCTTCCTGGCTCTCAAGATAGGGAAGCCATCAGTTCTATGTCCATAGGTACCACATTCAAAACAAACCAAATGTAGACCTTCATACTCCACCTTTTTAACTTGTCCTTCCAATTTGTATTCACCATGAAGAGGTTGGCTTAGATCAAGCTCTACACACAGACGTGCAAATCTTCCTCGCTCTATGCTTGTTGTAGTGCTATTAATCTTTATAAACTTGCCCAACTAATTGCCAATTGCTTTGAACACATTCGACGCAAAATATTCTACTGGGATATCAGGCAGCCTCACCCATGCAGCAATTCTATCAATACTGGCCATATGGGATTGAAAATCCGAAGACCAAGAACGAACAGCCAAATAATGATTCAGAATGCTCCACGGCCCTTCTGGCCAAGCAAATTCCAGATCCTCTTTCCTCTCAAACTTGGCCAGAAAATAATCATTCTCTAAATTTGTGACCAGAATTCTTCCTTCTCTCGCCCACAAGTTCTCCAATCGCCTCTTCATGAAATTCAAGGAGACCTTTTTTCCCAACAACTTTGCGATAAGAGTGTTCCCCCAAGGTTTCCTTATTTTTTCCTTCAACTGGTCCGATAATTTGAAATTGGTTCGCCCATCCGGATCTAGTTCATAGATAATTTATGTATCATCCTCATCACCATTCTGGTAATCCTTCATATTTTCGCCAGATTCGAACTCCCCATTGTGCCTTAGCAATGCTTCCCTGAAGGAAGGCTTTTTTTTCCATCCAGTCTTCCTCTCTCCGTACCCTTGCCTCATCAGGGTTAAAGTTACCTTCACCACTCTTACATTTTTTAGTACTCCTCCTCAACTGGTCATCTTCCTCCACTGTACGCTCATGCTCTCCTCGCTCATCGTAATTTTTGTTTCAGATTTGCAGTTTCTTTCTCTTTATTTTTATAGCAACTTTTGCTGGGTTGTTTTTAGTTTTTCTTATTTGTTAACTATTATTATCCTTTATATATATATATATATATATATATATATATATATATATATATATATATGATAAAATTATTTCTGCAGCCGCTTTATGTACAGCAATGACAAGTGTATGATTATGATTCCTCACATTTAATGTTTTTCATCCTTTATATGGTTATGATTATCTGCATTTAATGCTTTCAAGTATATATATAGCAAGTATTTGATTGTTGCACGTACAACAGCTGTAGAAATGTAAATCCTTATATATATATATATATAGAGAGAGAGAGAGATAGGGTCCTTTGATACCAGTGTCAAATTTAAAATTTGACACCTCATCTGAGAGCCGTTAGATAAAAAAAGATCAACGATTCTGATTCGTAAGCATATCGACAGTGGATTAACAACACATCCAGACGAATAGCGGTGAGTTATTAATTACTTCATTTTTGTTTGATTTATTAGCGTTTATTTCACTTCATGGTTATTAATATTTTGTTTTCTTTTATTTTTTTGGCTTGTAGGAGGGATTCTAAAAGCTTCTGGAAGAGATAGAAACACAGGTGACAGATGATGGAACCGCCTCCTCTCAGGTCGATAGCAATGAACTCTTCATTAAGGCGACTGAGCCATTTAATAAAAAGGAAAGAATTTTTGGCTTGGGAGCATCTGCTAGCAGCTTCAAGAGTGCCAAGCGCCCGTCTAGACAACTTCCAGGTGTTTCTAAAGGTAAAGACATTTACAGTTAATTGTTTCAAAATTTCACTCCCTAGTCCATTTAAATTAAATACAAAACAATATACCTAAGCATATATTCTTATTATTGCAGATGAGCTCGGCAGAATGAGAGTAGTGACTGTTAAATTTGGAGGTCGAATTGTAGCAGCAAAAGGAGCAAAGGGAAAAAATGGACGCCGAGCTAAGGCACAAAAGGGACAAAATGGACACCGAGCTAAAGCAACAAAAGGAGAAACAGAAAAAGAAGGATAATCTGTTGCAGAAATTACTGAATAAAATGCAGAAGAAGAAAGAGAAGAAGAAGTAGAAAAAGATGATGAAGAAGAAGAAGACAGTAGACTCTTCATCCCCATCCCACACTCATACCTCATGATGTATTCAAAGCTTTTGTTTATGACTACCTCTATCAATACATTTTTCTAATTGTATGAGATTATAATGTTAGTTTGTGTGGGATTATAGTGCTGGTTTGTATGGGATTACAATTTGTTAGTTTGTATGAGATTATAATTTGTTAGTGATTTCATTTCAATGAGACATATAAGTATTTTTGTTATGGTTGTACGGTTTATAGGTTTGAAAATAAATTAATTTAAATATTTTTTATTTTCATAATTTTACGACGAAAATTCATGGACATTCCATCGCAATAACTGCAGATTATTGCGACGGTATTCACATTCCATTGCAAAAATTGTGATGGTATTTTTCACTCTTTCGTCGAAAATTTGGGACGATTTTTTTATTAGACGTTGTATATTTGCGGACCCAATTTTGCAACGGATTTATAATACATTTCCGTCTGAGATTTTCATTACATCCAATTTTTGCGATGAGATTTTCAAAAATTCCATCGCAAATTTGTGACGGTTTTGTAATATATTTCCTTCGCAAATTTTGTCATGGGTTCTTTCCCCATTTAGTTTGTGACAGATAATTTGCATAGGAATTCCGTTGCAATTTGCGACGGTGTTCTCAGTATTCATGTTAGCATTTTGCGATGGATAATGAGTGTTTTGTGACGAGTTTTTCGTTCGCAATTTGCAACGGAATTCATAACAAAAAAATATCGTCGCAAAATTCGTTTGCGATGAGTTTTTTATCGACTGCTTTTTTCGTCGCAAATTCCATTGCTTGCGAACAAAATTGTCAGTTTTGCGACGGAAAATACCCCTAAAAGGCTATTTCTAGTAGTGTTATACTTATATTAGCAGGTAACCTCCCATGAGCTGACTTCCAAAGTAAAATTTTCGTACGATAGGGACCACGCCTCTTCCAAATCTTATGCCAGCACCAATCCTCCCAACCATCATCCCAAACCTTCTGTATCAAATTACTAAGTAAAGTATATATCCCTTTGGCCGAAATTGAGTCACCTGAACCCAAGGACCACAACTTTTTATCTGGAGGATCATTAGTCGAAAGGGGAAAGACATTTCTAATATGTTGAATCACATTAATATGGAGCCAAGACGTAAGCATCTCAAGCTGCCACTTGCCAAAATCTAAAACATAATTAGCAAGACATTTTGATTTCTCAGATAGAGGGAGATTCAAAGCTAATTCTTTAAGTTTCACGTCATGAAATAACCAATTATCATTCTAAAATGAAATTGTATTATTATCTCCAACCTGCCAGTAATCATGAAATCGAACATTTGCCTAAACATGACATAAATGAGACCATAACCCAGAACAACTAGAAGAAACAGTAAATAAAAGACTACCATTAGTACCATATAAGGCACGCAAGATTCTTCCGCATAATGAGTCCTTCTCAGAGCAAAGCCTCCATAATAATTTCACCGAGAACGCTTCATTCATTACCACCATATTCTTAAGACCTAAACAACCCTTATCTTTAGGACATTGAAGAATATCTCATCTTAAAAGGCGAGCAGTTATGTAATATTGCGACACCATATATTTACACCTATATTATCTCATATATGCACAAATTATTTTATATGGAGTTAGCTTCACCTCATTTTTATAATATGTTGTATTTGATGCTCAACGAGAAAAAATACAAGAGAACCTTGTACCAAAAAAAAAATACACAAAAGAACAGGACATTACAACATAAATTTTTGCTATATTTATTGTTTGGTATTTTTGGCTTTGCCCTGTGCATATTGTTTGATATGCACAAATAGTGGACATATTAATATAAATTTTATTATAATACCCTTTATACGGTAAATTATTTATTTTGCATTAAAAAAATATGCAGGACAATATTTCATTATTATTTAATTATTTCCATACTTAATTGGTTTTGAGAGGTTCATACTTTAATTTTATTTATAATTTATTAATATTGTTAATATTTATTCATTAATTTTTTTATTTATCATATGATTATAAATAAAAAGTAGATTTTAAATGATGATATAATATCTATGTAGC